GGCTGGGGATTTAGCTCAGCGGCAAAGCGCCTGCCTGGCAAGTGCAAGGTCGTGAGTTCGGTTCCCGGTACTGGAGAAAAAAACAAAAAAAAAGAAAAAAAAAAAAAGAAAATGTACACTGAGAATGCTTACAGCAATCTGAGCAACTTCACTAAAGATAACAATATATAACAACCATCATTAACTTCTTATCACTTCGTTTTGAAATTCCGTATTTTTATTGTTTTTGTGCTGGTTTTATTATGGTCTTGATTGTTGTTGTTTTATTTCCTCTTTAAAATAAAAAAAGAATACTATGGCAGAATTTGAAAATTATTCATACACTTTAATTGAGGAATAATCTTCTCTTGTAATATATAGTCCCCTGTGTTCAATGAAAAGAAGTTAAAATATTTTATAATAAATATGTAAAACATAGATGAAAATTATTACTGCACTTATGAAGAAACATATCTGAATGTTACCTATTTTGCCATCTTTTTATCTATGTTTGTAATTTTTTATATATACATTTTTAAGTTCTATTTTCACACAGTTTCTACCAAACTTCCTGAATTGATGAAATAGCAACAGCTCAAATAAAGGTGGAAATTTATCAGCAAAGTCAATTTGTGCTGTGTATGAGGTATGTGATTTCCTGGTGGGTGGAAACAATGCAGAGACATGGATGAGACACACCTGCCCTCAAAGCCAGGAAGTCAGCCACCCTGGATTACTGCCCTCTACAGAGTTGGTCTTTGAGGATATGTGCTCCTGGGATCAGAATGCTAGTGACATTTCTGGTCTAATGAGAAGCTGTGGATATTGAGGCCCCAGGGTAGAGAGAGTAGGAGAGGACCAGTGAAAGCCTCACTCAAAAACCTTGTCCCCTCATGAATCAACAACTCTACATTCTTCTAGGATGATCATCCCTAATGCAGACAAATCCACTTCGGTGTGTCCACATTTCTGGAGATAAGATTTATTTTCCACAGGTGAGACCTTAAGTATAATTTTCACAGGAGCCAGCCTGGTCTCCCACAGTCCCTCATTTACTGATCTGGACCTGTGTGCATACGTTTGCTTCAGTTTCACTGAGGTGAAGCACTGAAGCAAGAACAAGCCTAAAATGATGTTATGCAGTCTTTCTCCAAGTCTGCTGTCTGCTGTCACCTTCTTGACACATTCTCATTTACATTATGGCCTCTATTCATCCAGCTTTCATTCTTCTAGGGGAACTACTCTCTCTTTGCAGTATCAAGGACCATTTATCTTTGTATAGAAACCTGCCTCTTCTCAAATATTATGGCTATCACATAAGATTTTGACACTGGATTGAATTCCCTAAAAGGTGGATAAGAAAAAGTTTAGGTCAATTGCTTGCTACAGTTGCTCTAGCAAAGTGCCATAAACTGGGTAGACTAATAACAGAAATGTTTTCTCACAGTTCTGGGAGATAGAAGGTGAATGATCAGGGTTAGTTCTTTTGAAACCTCTCTTCTTGGTGTGTCCTCTCCCTGTGTCTTCATGTGGTCTTTCCTCTGGAGGTGTCTGTTGCAACTTTCATTTTTTGACAAGGGTTCCAGTCCTATTGGGTTGGTTTTACTGTAATAAACATATTCTAAGTTAATTATATTTTCTAAGAATCGTATCCATTGTGCTCATATTTGCTGTTTGGGGGTTAAGATTACAATATAAGAATTTTAAGAGGGACAGGATTGATCCCATATCAACCTGATCATTTCCTATTCCCTTTACTGGTCTTTGACCCATCACTACACAGAGAACTTTTATCCCTTTGGTGTGAGGATGAAAGGACTCTAGGGAAAGAGACAAATATATGGAGAGAATTTCATAGTAGTTTCTTACTCCCTATTTTTTTGTTTCATTTTGAGGTAGGGTGTCACTAAGTTCCCCAAGCTGGTCTTGAACATGTGATCCTTCTCCCTCAGCATTCCAACTAGCTGGAATTCTAGGCAAGTGCCACCACATTCATCTTCATGTTTTGCTTTCTGAAAATAACAAATACTTTTACAGAGGAGCAGAAGAGGTAGTATGATTAGCAGTAGCAACACATGGCCAACTACCTTGTTCCAAAGTTAACCAGTATTGACATTTGATTATGTGGATTGCAAGTCTTATTCAATGAATAAATAAAAGCACACAAAACTCAGTACCTTGGTTTTCCCCCCTCCATTCTTCTCCTTCCCTTTTCTGGGCATGCTGCCTTAAATATGGCAGTGTCCCCCATGCATGCTTCTACATTTAAATGTACGTTTTAAATTTAGTCACATTTAAAAGGCAATGACCATAACACCTACCTGCTAGAGAAGGCAGAAATAAAAATAAAGTGACCATGTAGTGAAATACCCTTTTAGTTAAAATTCATGATAGAGAACTAAACACAGTCATATCTTGGAAGCCAGTTGTTTGTTTTGAAACTCCTCCAATTTGGTACTTGATGCATTTTGATGCAACTATATTGTCCTTGTACTGACCATTTAGTACCCAACATTGAAGCTACAGCTTTTCTAATAACTTGCTACCTATTCCAGGCAAAAGAATTTGCTTGGTACTTGTTTTTGGTACTCATCACTCCTCCCTGAATCAAGTAATCATGAGTACCATGGAACCACTGCATACTAGCATCAATAAAAATAAATTGAAAAGAATACCAACTATAAGTAGCATATACAGTAGGGTGCTGTTCATATAAAACTTTAAAATTCATAAAGGGTATATATTGTGGTTTTTATTATTTGAAAAAATAGCTATTTAGCTTCTTTTAGAGCTCTTGCTAATGCAGTTGTTTGATTTGCAAGTAGAGAGTCTTACAAACTGTAAGCTGAAAGCTTCTCTTTTCAACTCTTTGCTTTTTATCTCTTGCGTGGATGGTCTTCCATTGCCACAGTAAATTTAATGGCTAGCTGAGAGTAGAGCTTAAAAGCAAACATAAGTTAGCAGTTTGTTCTGGAACAAATTATTCCAAACATAAAAGAAATTTTGAAAACTTGAGAGATCTTTTAAGAATATTAATTCTGTGCTCAGAGGCTTTAGCAGTGACTTGTCAAGAAAGTCTAGTCAGTAGTCAGATAATCTGAGCTCTGATCCAAACACTGCTAACTTTGTGTTCAAAACATCTTCTTGTGTGAGTCCACAGGGCTGCATCGTGAACTCACTAGACTGCAATTTGACAAGCCCCTCTAACAATCCTAAGGCATGCCATAGAGACCACTACAGGAGATTTATTTGATACATTCATTATGATTATTTTTGTTGTTTCACAGCATGAAGTAATTGTGGGGGCAACCACATCTTCCTTATATTTTGTTACAATCTCATTATCTCATACTGTGTGAAAAGCATTCCTGTCCAATTGAGGAAACAGAAATCAGAGGAAGACAGCAGAGAGAGGAGAGGTAAGAGGAAAGAGAGTGAGCAGAGGAGATATCAGAATGACCTCATGGCTTCAAAATGGCAATCAGAAATTTTCTGTTTCATTGAGTTATTTTTTTTAAAGAGGAGAAGTTTATTTTGGCACAGAGTTTCAGATTTTTTTATCTTAATTAGTAGATATTTTCAGTATGTAATAATTACATTCATCATAGAGCACTGGTCCATGTACATCATACATTTTAATTCTCTTTTTCCGACTTGGTCATAGTGTATGATTTTTTTGATGATTTGCTGCATTTTATTTGCTAGTATCTTAATGAGTATCTTTGCATCTATATTCATTAGGGGGATTGGTCTGCAGTTCTCTTTCTTGGTTGGGTCTTTCTCTAATTTTGGTAGCAGTATAATACTTGCCTCCAGAAATGAGTTAGGGAGAATTGCTTCCTTTTCAATTTCATTGAAGAGTTTGAGGAATGCTGGTATTAAATATTCTCTGAATTTCTTGTAAAATTTTGCTGTGAATCCATCAGGCCCTCGGTTTTTCATTGGCAATAATTTTTTAATCAAGTTTTCAATCTCATTAATTGATATGAGGTTGTTCAGGAATTTTATATCTTCTTGATTCAACTTTGGTAATTCATACATCTAGGAATCTGTCCATTTCTTCTGAATTTTCTATCCTATTGGAGTAAAGATTTTCAAAGTAGGTATTAATGATCTGAATTTCTGTAGGATCAGTAGTGATTTCATTCTTTTCATTCCTTATTACATGAATATGAGTTTTTTCCTTTCTTTTTTTATTTTAAAAATACAAGAAGGAAAACATTAACAGACAGACAACCTTTTACAAAAGAATAGTACAGACAATACAGAGTTACAAACAAAGTGGTAGGAAACTAACAATGGTTGTTGTATTACATATTGATATCTTCAAAGTGGTTTCTCATGAAAACAGATAGAGACATGCAATATTGATCAGTCAAGGACTCATTGACAGTTTCTTTCAGCAAAGAAATAGAAGACAGTAGAACAGCTATGTTAACTGTCCTGTATATACATACATACAAAATTTCCCATTGTCTCACTAGTGTAAAACCTGAAAGAGTTAATTCCTTTTTTTTTTTTTGATAAGGTTGGCTAGGGGTTCATCAATTTTATTTATTCTTTCAAAGAAGCAACTCTTTGATTCATGTATTTTTTGTACTTTTCTTCATCTCAATTGCATTCATTTCTGCCCTGATCTTTATAATTTCCTTCCTTCTTTGGGTTTTTGGTTTCACTTTTTCATCCCCTTCCTCTCCTCCCCGCTCTTCCCACTCCTGTCTTTGGCATGTTCCCTTTGCAAAAGATTTATCCCCCTGTTTCCTCTTATCTTATAGTTTGCTTTTTAGCTTATTCCCAGTTTCATACACTTCTTTCCAAACTTTAGAAATATCCAGTACATCCACACTGCTTACTATCAGGCTGTTAGTCTAGATTCCCAGAATTTCTCAAACATACCTCTGCAATGGTATCAGAAAGTTTCATTTCTATCATCCCCAAGAGATTCTGCTGCTGCTTTGTATCTAGAGCTCATTTGTTTCATTAAATTTTTACCCCGTCTTTCATACAGATTCACCAACAACATGAAATTCAAAAACCGAACAGCAGTTTCAGAATTCCTGCTCCTGGAATTGACAGAGGATCCACAATGTCAGCCCCTCATCTTCAGCTTGTTTCTGGTTATCTACCTTGTCACCATCCTGGGGAACCTGCTCATCATCCTGGCTGTGACTTCTGATGCCCACCTCCACACCCCCATGTACTTCTTCCTCTCCAAGCTGTCCTTTAATGACATCTGTTTAAGCACAACAACAATCCCAAAGATGCTGGTCAGCATACAAATACAAGATCAGAGCATCACTTTCATAGGCTGTCTCTCTCAGATGAATGTTGCCTTGATTTTTGGTGGTTTAGAAAATTGTCTCCTTGCAGTGATGGCCTATGACCGCTATGTGGCCATTTGTCACCCACTGAGGTACACGGTCATCCTGACCCCCTGCCTCTGTGTCCTGTTGGTTCTGTTCTCTTTGTTTATTAGCACCGTGCATGCCCTGCTCCACACTTTGATGGTGCTGCGCCTGTCCTTCTGCACAGACCTAAAAATCCCTCACTTCTTCTGTGAACTTGTTCAGGTCATCAAACTTGCTTGCTCTGATACCTTTGTCAATAATCTTTTGATATATTTAGTAGCTAGTCTTTTTGCTGGTGGTCCTGTCTTTGGGATTATTTTCTCTTATACTCAAATTGTCTCCTCTATTTTGAGAATCCCATCAATGGGGGGAAGGTATAAAGCTTTTTCCACCTGTGGGTCTCACATCTCAGTGGTGTCCTTATTCTATGTGACAGCTTTTACAGTGTACATGAGTTCTGCTGTATCAGACTCTCCCATTAAGAATGTAGTGACTTCAATGATGTACATTGTGATCCTACAAATGTTAAACCCTTTTATCTATAGTTTGAGAAACAGAGAAATGAAAGCTGCTTTGAGGAAGCTCATCACTCTTCTCTAATTTTATCTTTGGCTTTCAATTTAGGTTGCTAGTATGAGTTAAAATGTCAGAACACTGGTGAGCTAAAGCGTTTGATTTTCCATGGTCAACTTTTTTTTTTTTTTAGTACTGGGAATCCAACTAGGACCTTTCATTTGCCAGGCAGGCATTATGCTGCTGAGCTGTATCCCTGGACCAAACAATTTAAATATTTTGATTGGGAAGTAAGAAGAACATGTTCAAATGGGAGGAGGAACAAGGGAGGGGGAGTAAGATGGAGAGGAAGAGAAAAAAGAATGGAAGGAAAAAATGGAAGCAAAAGTCTTTAAACAGGTAGAGGAAGAAGGGTTGAAGGGTGAGAAGGGAAATGGGAAAAGAAGAACTGAGATATATTATGGGCAAGCACAAATTCCCTATGATGAAACTGAACAATACACATGGCAAATATGTACTAATAAAAAATAAACCAAAAAAGAATATTCAGTGGCTCAAGACTGTTGCATAATATTGAAACTTCTTCAGTGCAGATCCTTTCATCCCGTATATGAAAAAGGAATCCAAATTCTAACGTGCTCAGCCCATAGGGAGGGTTACATTCACTGCTGGATTTCAGGATTTAGGTGCTGGGATTAGCACTTCATTCAGTCCTACATGAGGCACCTCTTTCAAAAGTTGCTCTCCTTAGTCACCAGGTGGTTGCAGCAGATGCAGCTGTTGTATCTGGACACGGTGCCTTGACAATGGACTTCTCTCTGGGGCCATGGAGCACATGACTGTGTCATTAGTTGAATACTGGGCATCAGAATGATGCCCTTTCACTTTATCCTTAGCCCTTTCACTTTTGAATAGAAACCTACATAATATGAAAGTGTGTTGTACAGACGTTAGAAAAGGATTTCTACCAAGAAAAATCCTATTTCTTATGACATGGACAGGTCTGGAATGTAATTTCACATAGTCTTACAAGACAGGGAAAAATAGAAAAAATTAGATTTTGTAACCACTTTTTTTAATTGTCTGTATTGTCCATATTTGCCACAAGACATTTTTTTCTGTAGGACTTTAATAATTTCATGCATGTCTGTATACTTTATTACAGGAAATTTTTTAATGTCTTTATTAGTACTTGTCCGTAATATATAATGTTAACATTCCTTGTGTAGAGCTGGTACATGTGCACGAATCATCCTAGTTTTTTTTGTCCCCTTTCCCTCCCTCTCTCTCCCTGCCTCTATCTGTTGATCCCCTCCCCCTCTGAGAAAGATCTATCTCTCTCCCTCCTGTTGTCTATCTTTTATCTTGCTTTTTATTCATGCTGTGGGGTTTTCATATAAGAAAAAACAGTGTGATATAAAAGCTTGTGTGTGGTTTATTTCATTTAACGCTATAGTCTCAAGGTGCATCCATTTTCCTACAAATGACTCAAGTTTATCTTTCTTTATAGCAGAATAGTACTCCAGTGAGTGGAAATATCACATCTTATTTATTCTTTCATCTTTTAACAAATGCATAGGCTCCTTCCAAGACTGAGCTATTATGAATTGTGCTGCTATAAACATGAAAATGCATGCATTGACCCAGAATTCCCCTGTTAAGTATCTTCCTCTAAGAGTTAATGATTTCCAGTTGGATCTTTTTGAGCCTGACAGATTTCAAGGTGATTGTGCATAGTACCTGTCCTTTTTGTCCAGTGTAGGACAGACTTCCAGAAAATCTCTCATTCATTTTTTTTTCAGTTAGCTACATTGTGATTTTACTTCTTCTTTTATAACAAAACCCTCAAAGCAGATCTCATCAATTCTTCTCTTCCCACCTCTTTCCAAGGTCAACTCAACAAGGCTTTGGTCTGATTTCTCATCTAGCACGTTCACTGTTGCCCTCACCAATCACCAGTCAAGTCTTAATTCCTGCATTATATTCAGCATCTTATGCTGATTATTGCTAAGGAGAACATTAGAAATGTATCCACCAAGGCAAAATTTAGTTCTCATTTCTTCCTTGGAGGATTTTCTGAAACTCTCAAGTATTTCATATCCAAAATCTTTAGTCTAGGCAAGTGGTAGCCAACCTATGTCATGTGTTACTTTTCCTTTAAGACAAAAGATGTGAATATATGACTTGGTCTTTCCTTCTAAACTAAAATGTCAGTACTCAGGTCCAATTGCAGTGTTGGCACTTCATGATAAATAAGTGAGTTTGGAGTTGCAGTTTGGCCACTCATCTCTAAAAGGTTCACCATCTCTGGGTTACACAGTGCTCAGCTCTTCAAATGACCCACATGTCTCAAGGAAGATTAGTCTTCAGGGACTAATGTTTGGACTTTGATTAATCTTCAGGGACTAGTCTCTTTGGACTTTGAGTCCTCACTCCTCAGAAAGAAGAAGTACCCTTTGCTTTCTGAGATGAACTTCAGCGTCTATCTTCTGCCCATTGACCATAAGAGGAAATAATTCAGGGCTTGTTTTGTCAAATCCGGAAAACTTTATCTTTTTTTTTCTTTTGTTTTGTTTTTGGCTTTTCTCCGGTACCAGGAACCAAACTCACGACCTTGCACTTACCAGGCAGGCGCTTTGCCGCTGAGCTAAATCCCCAGCCCTGGAAAACTTTATCTTGTTTTCACATTTACTGTTCTCTTTGGGTAGTACATTGAAAAATTGACTTTATTTTTAAGTCCACTGAGTTCTTTCTATATTTTATTTAAATTAGTGGAATAGAAAGTTAATGGTGGTGAATTTCTGTAATTTCAGGTACTCAGGAGGACACGGCAGGAAAATTCAAGCCCAGCCTCGGAAATGTAGGAAAACTTCAACTCAAAGAGAGCTAGAGAGGGGATGTAGCTCAGTGGTTCCAACCCCAGTACTCAAAAAATTGTCCAAAACAGTGAATGGATTAATGATGGCAGAAAAAAACATTACAATGACATCTCGTCATAACTTGGATTTTATATAGTATATCTTGAAAAGTATAGATTAATAATGTATACATTAAATAATCTAATGTACTATGAAAGGACAAAACATGAAATTCTATAATTCCTTAATTCTAAAAAGTTCTACAATGAATGTCAGCATGAGGTTCCATCTGCAGCTATAGAATGACGGTCAAATTTTAAGAAAAATTATGAAATAGACATATTTGCATTCTAAAACATATTGGTGATATTGCAAGTGAATTCAAAGCAAAATTAAAATTGTAGAGCCATAGCCTCAACTCACAATCTTCTAATGTGAAGAAAAAAATGTACACTGAAATATTGTGAGAATTAGAAAAATGTTCAGAAAATAAAAGGTAATAATGGCCTCTTATTTGTTTGTTTATTTTTCATTAGTACATGTTTGCAGCACATAATAATCACATGCATCATGGGTGATATGTACATAACACATTTTCATTATCTTTTTTGTTTTCTTCCCTTGCCCTCCCTTCTTCTGTTCCCCATTTACAAAGCTCTGTCTTCATTTTTCCTTCAGTACTTTTTCCTCTAGATCCCTTTTCCCTTCCTTCCATCCCCTTCCCTATCTCCTGTTCTCCTTTTTTTTATTATTTTATTTTAGAAATAAAAGGAGGAAAATACTAACAGAATGACAACATTTTACAAAATAGCAAAGGATCAGTACAGACATTACAGAGTTACAAACAGAGTGGTAGGGAATTAACAATGCTTATTGTATTACATATTGATATCTTCAATGTAGTTTCTCATGAAAATACATATAGACATGCAATCAGCAATGTGAATGAAAACAGATTCAATATTTTGTGAAAAAAATAATTAATGTTCTAAATACATTAATACATGTGGTGCTCTGTCTGTGCTACAACAGTTCAAACAAAATGACTTATCCTGAGCTCCAGATAAAAGTCCATTTTAATGTGGTGATATGAAGACATGCAGGTAAAGAGAGAAACAGGTCAGCAAAGTGTAAGAGTCCCCAAAGTGACCTGATGTAGCACAAAGTCTTGCCTACGAGGATGGATTATACTGATGCAGCAAAAGGACAGAGGAAGTATGGTGGTTCTCACCAGGCAGTGCGTTCTGAGGATGCTATGCAGTAAAAGGAAGAGGAGGAAGAAGGAGAGCAGCAGTGTGGTCCACCACGACCAAAATGGCAGGGACCACCCCCTCTACAGGAACAGCCGGCTCTTCAAGGAGAGAGGTGCCATTGGAACTACTGAGAGGTCTAGGGGTGGCAGAGATGTCCTGCTCCACAGCAGAGAGGCCATGGTTCCCGTGGAGTGAGGCGCAGGTCAATGTAGGAGGCAAAAGGGAAAAAGGGCACAAACACCCCAATTCCAAGTCATTGTCAGATGAACAAACAACAGAACTATTGTTCCCAACCCATTTCTCAACTCCTGCTTTAACAAAATGATGAATATTCTGGTAACTATGGTTACAATAATGAGAAGCAGGAATTTTATCCGGGTACTTTATGGACAATAGTGGATGTACATAATTGAGGGCTTGAAAACAATAGTGACAAGCCATGATTGGGTCTATATGCATATTCCTCAAAATATTGCTTAACTAATCTCATCTTTAAGTGGCATTCTGCTGCCACTTGTCCTGGGCTGAAGAAATCACTGTCTGGAATGTTCTAAAGTTTTTCATTATTCTTCTTTTTATAAATGCTCCTGGACATCACTGGGTTTACAGAGTTCCCTTATTCTGGGGCTTACAATGTTTTCATCACGTTCAGCTGCATTTGAGTTTCCAAAGAAGCTATTAAATCTTGATTTTTGAGGACTGTTTGGTTGGGACTGTTTCCTTTTTTTGATGTAGGAGCTATTCCACAGGAATACAAAGTATGAATCAAATTACAAACTATACTCTGTCTCAGCAGTTTTAAGAAATTAAAACAAATGATTTTTAGTTTCCCTCTATTGAAAATAACCTGTAAGTCTATACCTTGCACTCCTAGAAGTACATTAACTTTGTTTTTAAATTGTGATAACTTCACACCGTTTTGAACTCTACCTTACAAAACACATTTGACTTAAATGTGAGAGTCATGAAAATTTTTTCTTTAATGTGATTGTATTTTCAGCTTCTGTTCACACTAGATTTCAATAAAACTATGAAATTATTCAAATGTTACCTACTCTTAAAAGAAACATTAATACACTTGTGAGTGCAGCTTATCAAATGTCTGCTTTTATTTATTTAATTTTACTACACTTATTGGTATAATTTAGATATACACCATATTCATCATATGGAATTTGTACTTGTATATGATATACTTTGATTCCTCTTTTTTTCCCCAATCCACTCCCTTCCCTTCAACTCCTCTTTTCATCCTTATTTACAAAGCTTTGTTCTCATTTGATCCTTCTTTTATCATTTGTTCTTTTCCTTTCTTTCTTTTCACCCTCTCCCTTCCCTAATTCCTCTTTTTTTTGACAATTTCTTCCCATTTCATAATATCTATTGTGCATTTTGTCCTTACTCTTTCAGTTTCTCACACAAGGAAGACAATATAGTGTTTACACATGTATGTCCAATTTATTACACTTAAGGGTATGGTCTCAAGACACATCCATTTATCCAGAAATGTCTCAGTTTATCCTTCTTTGTGGCTGCATAGTACTCCATTGTGTAAAAAACCTGCATCTTTCTTATCCATTACTTGGTTGATTACTTTGTTTTGTTTCTAGGATTTAACTATTACAAACTGTGCAGTTATAAACATGGATGTGCACATAGCCTTGTGGTATTACTTTTTTTTACAAAGTACACTAAAGTATTTATTAAACAGAAAACTTTTAGATAACAAAACCTTAGAAAAATTTCAGCATACTTAAGAATTCATGTTTATATTTACTGAAAGTCAAATGGCTGTCATGTGTATGTTCTTTTATTTAACTTAATGTAAACCAAGCATGAGGAGATAAAAAGAAAAATTTTTTCAGGAAAATAATATGTTTAGTCATTTTTTATTTTTAATTCTTCCAGGAAGATGCCCAGCAGAGGAAGAGATGGGGCAAACGGGACCTCTAATCTTAGTTTTTCAGGAATCTCCATAATGATTCCACAGTGGTTTACATGAGTCTGCACTCCCAACAACAATGGAGAAGGACTCCCTCACAGCCCCTCCAGCCTTTGTTACTGGTTGATTTCTTCATGATAGCCATTCCTTCTGGGTTGAGATGAAATCTCAGTGTGTTTTAATTTTCATTTCTCAAATGACCAATGATGTCGAACATTTTTTCATATATTTGTTTGGCATTTGTACTTCATCTGAGAAGTGTGCATTTTTGGATTGGGTCTTTTAATTTGGGGGACTGAATTTTTTCAATTCTTTATATGTTTTAGATGTAAGTTCTTTGTCTGATGAGAAGCTGTCTAAATGTCATGCGTTTTAATGTCTCCTCAGACTTGCAGCCCATCTTTCAGACTTGTGATTTGTGCTTTTTGTACAGTTCTGTTCATCTTGTTTACAGAGCCTCAAAGTCTTTTTTGTATAGTGCACCTTGCTTATACAGTATTATAATTTTTGCCGATTGTACTATAAATGTCATACTATAGTTTTATACTGTTATTCATTATAACACCACATGTAAGAGTTATGAAAATAAAAGTAAACTCATTAACTTGAAGTTTCCTTTGACCATTTCCTTGTTTTGTATATTGCCATGTACATATTATATCCATTTTTCTTTAAGCAACCAACTTAAGAAACAGAACTCTGTTATTAAAAGAATGTCTGTATGCTAGCTATGTTTATAATTATATAATGTATATATAAGCTATATTTCCACATCTCAAATTCAATTAAGCATCCTGGTGTGATATAATAGATAGATAAAGCTAAGATGGAAGTTGAGATTGGTTAGAAAATTTCAATCTGTTATATGTACAAGGTACCTAAAATGGAGGTGATCAGAAGCAATTGAGAGAATTGAATGAAACAGAGCTGAACTCAGGAGTCAGGAAACCAACCATCCTGAGTTCCTCTCTTCTACAGAATTGGTCTTAAAGGACATGCACAGATGGGATCACAATAGTAGTAACATTTCTGATCTAATGAGGAGCATTGGATATTGAGCCCCCTGGGATATAGAGACTACATGAGTCAGCCAGAGAAAATCTCAGTCAAAAGCCCTTCCCAGCCAGGAAGCCACAGCTGTTGGTCCTCCTAGAGGTCATCTTTTTGATCTGGACACTCCTGCTCACTTGGTGCAACTGCCATTCCTGAGACTAGATCTTCTGCATTTCCATGCAGGTGAGATGCTGAGCATTATTCTCAGCAAAACTGACCAGGTAGCCAAATTCCCCCAGTCAATGATTTGACCATGAGCACAGGTAATTTGTTTCCGTTTCACCCAAGGGAAGCAGTGAAAACAGCACATGCAAAAGATGGTGAGAAACAAATCTCCCATGAGCCTCCTGTTGACTGTCATCTTGCCACATTCTCATTTGTAGTTTTACCAATACCCGCCCAGCTCTCAGTCTGCTGGGCATCTGCTACCACTTCATAGCCACAGAGACGAGTTTTTCCTGAACAGAAACCTGTCATTTCCTCAACAAGATGAGTCTCACAAAAGAGCCCAATATCTCTGTGAATCGTTCTGTGGTTGTGGGAAGAATTTTGTTCAGCAGGTTGGTTTTCTGGAGATATTGTAATAACATGCCATATAGTAAGTTAACTAATGACAGAGATTTATTTCCTCACAATTCTAGGGACTAGAAATTGACAGGTCATGTTGTGGGCAGAGTTGAGTCCTCCTGAGGTCTCTCTCCTTGACTGGTAGATGGCTGTCTTCTTTCAGTGTCTTCTGATGGTCTTCACTATGTGTCTTTGTCCTAATTTCCTTTCCTATAATGACCCTTGTTGTGTTGGATCAGAGATTACTCTCATGAACACAATTTAAATTAATTATCTTTTCAAAGAACCAACTGTACGTGTGATCACTATATGCAGTATGAGGGGCCAGATTTCAACCTACTAACTTGGAAACAGACAGAAGTTAGCCCATAAAAAATAATCTTGTCTCTCACTTGATGTTGAATTTGTTAATCCATGAACTGTATATAAAACTTTGCTCTATCCCTGTAATGGGGCTGTGAAAACTCTGGGAGAGGAGCTGGAGATGATGAAATGCTCTCCTTGCAGCTCCCCAATACTCGTGTTCTGCTTTGTAAAACCACCAAATATTTTAAAGAGAAGGAGCAGCGACAGTGTAAATGACAGCAACAACAACATACAACCACACTTCAACTGTTTCTAGAACTAAGAAATGTGACATCTTGCTATATCCACTTCAGGTCTTTTAAAATGAAGCAATAAAATAAGAAGCATACAGAATTCACCTCCTTGGTACTCTACTCCATTATTTCCTTCCCTACCCAAAGACCCGCCATCTTGGATTCAGTTGCACCTCCCAGGCCTGCCTCTGAATTGTATCTGTTGGAATAGAAAAGCCATAGCCATAACACCTATCAGTCAGGGAAAGCAGAAAAAGTGTGAAATATGCTAGAATACTGTGCTATTAAAATTAACAATATATCAACACTAATAAAAATAATTCACCTATGTGTGATAATTATAAATGCATACAATAGGCTCTTTGTATTAAAAATTTTAAAAGATGACATATTAGCAGATTTTTTTATGTGGAAAAATGTAACCAAACAACATATAAAGTGTGGAAGAATACTTATATCAAAGAACATGGGGAATAAAAAAAACAGTTTATGTAAGTTTGTTCTACTAATTACTTTAACTAACCTCTATTATTATTATTTCATAAATAAAATATGTCAGCATAGTAAAGCAAGCATTGTCAAGGGTGAGTTGTTTACTTTCCGGGGGCCAATCTTGTGCTGTTCTCTGTATTTTCTGCATCTGTCATCCCTAATGTTAATATGCATAACTATGCAGCTTTGAAAGGACTTAAAATGTTCTCATGGTATAGACTTTTCATTTAATGTTTTTGGTGTTTACATTAATACAGTTTGTGATTCAAGTATCTTATTTTTTATTAGATGCTAGAACAGATTGCATGGCTCCAGTTGAAAACTCTTATGAGCTGCAGCTTTATCTGCACTGCTCTCTAATTTCTATTCCCAATTGCCTTGATGTATGCCTTCCACCCATAACGAACTGCTATACATTAATATAGTTTGTGATTCATTTATCTTTTTTTTTATTAAGCTTCATTGTTACATATGATAAGTTATCACATTTTGGATCAAATAAATACTGGTATAACTGATGTACATTTCCTTCTTTATTTTTCTGCATAACTAAGATTCCCAGAGGTAGTTCCAGTACAGAAATTATTGTCTGTTTACATAAATTTACAAATGTTCTCTCCTTTGCTCCTATGACTAAACTGCTCTACCCTATAATTTCCTTTTGATGTCTGAAAAGTATATGTGCTATATTGCTCATGGGAGACATATAAATGTATATAGTATATGCATTTCAGCTGTTTATATAAAATTTATGCACACTCTAACAATTTTCCGTACTAATAAATATCTTGAAGTTAATGGCCAATACATCGAGCACCTCTTATAATTGTAGAGGCCAAGGTAACTTGTATTAATCTCATGATGTCTCAATAAATTTAGTATTGAAATATTTGTAACAGTTTATCTTTTCTTGTTGTATACATTTTTGGTTATGTCTCCTCCTCTCTATACGTAAATGTAAGAGAGAGACAGAGAGAAAGATTCACTTCTCACCACAAAATATTCCTATGTAATTTTCACCCCAAATTTATTTGTAGAAATAAAAATGCACACATTTAAGATATACAATGTGATGGCTGGAGAAGTGTAAACTGTGAAGTTACTATCACATACAGCTAATTAAAGCATCCTTCAGGCAGCTCCCATTGGGTTAATGAGGACAGTCTCACTTCTCATCCATTTAAGGTTGTTCTCCAACACAAAGGAAGGGCTTGAACTTGGAATAGATTCAGAGTGTGTGAGTCTAATATAACCAAGTGATCATTGCTGTCATAGCTGCTTCTTTCTTTCCCAGGAAATGAATAACTCTTCTTTCCAGGACCACTTCTGCTAGTAAGACTGATTTTTTAAGTTTAGGTTCTCTAGTAAGTTTCCATCTTCTGGATACTGACATAAATTTTTTTTTTATATGGGTGGACACGTTTTTAAAGAGAATAAAAAACAATATAAATCATATAGGATTTCAAAACAAGGTGATAGGAAGTTAACAATGGTTATTATATTGCATACTGTTATCTTCACCAAAAATTATAATAGATATTGTGAAAGGGAAAGAAACTGCTCAAAAGAAAAGAACAACTGGGATGGGGGAAAGAAT